ATTGACGTGAATTGTTGACGCAGGCAGCTCAGCACCCTTCTTCGGCCGACGGATGCGTGGCTTTGCCGCAGTTCAGACGTGGCAAGTGTTTCCGTGCATTGAGAACAGAGTGTGAGCTGTCTTGGATCTCAGTAGACTCAGTAGTTGCATGTCCAGTTTTGATTTGCGGAGGTACGCTCCGCATTTGACATGTGGCTACTTGATTGTTCACAAAGTCAATTGTCTTCTTTCAGGTCCGTGTTGTCAGTGCTGAAGGCGCGCTTTGCAGCGGAGGACGCAAAGCATCTCATCCTTTCGAGTCGAGCATTGGCTCGTCAAGCCTGTCTCGCCTTGTAACCACAGGACATCTACACTTACGGAGCACTGAACTCCTTGGTGGTTTGCAATCCATTCAGGCCAGATACGTGGTTGTCACAAAACTCGGGCAGCCAACCAAAATGGGTTGTCCGCTCGGGAAATGGCTGTGGGTCAAAACCTGTACCCCGTTCCACCCCAAAATGGAGCCATAGGTTGTGCCCCATGGCCAAATGGTTGTTGCCCAATTGGCCTAAAACCCGGGGTCCATCTCCTGACTCATTTTGAGGCGCACCCAAAAATCGAGCTTCGCGTTCTGGAGGCCGGTGCCTTGCCTGGAAGATCCCACCGTGCTGCCTTCTTACAAGGCGGGAAGCGGGGATTCTGAGGAGAAACGTGGCCGATCTCAGGAAACCCCAACTTGGTGGTTTGGAGCACGGAGGTTTGGGGTTTGAGCCCCTGGTTCTTGTAGAGGGCAAATGGAACCTCCTCCAAAACCACCAAACTACTGCTCCAAACCACTGGAGGGAAGCTGAGAGGCATGCCTGCAAGTGGATGAGCTGGAAGGCGGGGTGCTGCCAAGACTCTGCTTGCAACGACTTGGCTACGAAGGGGGCAGTGCACTTTGCCTGGTAGATTTGTTCCCCGGCTTGACAAAAGGGTGGAGAGGTTGGGGTCACCCAGTGACTCGGTTTGGAGAAGCCCGGTAGGGAGCTAAAGAGATGCAGGGGAGTTCCAGGCGCTTGACTCAGCAGGCCACTCCAGCTTCAGCTTGGAGGAGCCGCACATTTGGGCGGCCTGTCGGCAGGCGGCAGCTTTCGAGTCCTTGAGACGGGGCCCCTTTTCTCTTTTCGGACCTGAAGAAGTCTTTTTTCTTCTTTTTTTTTCAAGGGAAGCCACCAGTTGATCAACTTCTGATCTGGCTGTGGAGTGGCCACATTGCATTGGAGTCCGACTCAAACTCTACCCTGAATTCGCTTGGTTTTCTGAAGATCAAATCTGCTTTTTTGGTTTCACTTGTTGGTACTTTTATTTTTCCTTCTGGTTTTCGCATTTTTCTTTCTGGCTCTTTCGCTTTCAGGCCTGGGCCTTCATTCGCAGAACCGGGCTGGGTGCTAAGCATTCACGCCAGCTCGGCGGTCAGCCGGGGGGATGGGCAGTTTTTTTTTTTTAGAAACCCGAAGGCGGAGTGTCTCCTTCGTCATTCAGGACAGTCCAGTTGTACCCTGAGAGAGGCTAACATGGAAGGCTAACATGGAAGGTCCTCTTCTGTCCTGGAGTGCTGGGTCTTCCATGTTAGCCTGGCGTGAGGGAGGGTATTTCTGACAAGCTTCAGACTGGATGGCGCACTCGCGGAACTGCGGTGCTCTTGGCAGGGTGAAAGTGGAGCTGGAAAGACTGAAACGGCAAAGGCTCGGATGCCGTGCTGTCAATGGGTCGACTGTTTAGATGGGAATGGTACTCCTTTTAGGTTGTCTGGAAGGGAAACCAAGAGGAAAACCGCCATTTGAGTGGGCCCCCAAGAAAAAAAACAAACAACCACACCGCCATTTTAGTTGCCCCCCTAGAATAAAAACAAACAGAGCAAAAAACATACACAACTGTCATCGGGGTTGTCTTCCTGGCATTGGAGCGGCAAAATTTCATGAAGCTGTGCGTGCTCAGCACGTGATGCTGTACTTCTCCTCTCCAACCCGGCAGTCTGCGGCCCAGCGTGGGGGTGAAAATCATGGTTTGTGTCGACTGCGTTTAGGGCTTCAACAGCTGGTTTGTTTCTTCTTCTTTTTTTTTTTTTCTTTCTCTTCCGCTTTTTGCCTCGACTGCTTGGCTTTTGCACCGCAAGGCTCACAGCCTCGGCGTTTTTTTTTGTTTTGGGGGGGGGAGCCGACTTGCGTGTGTTGCTGTCCAACTCGAGGCCCAGTCCCAGGCGACCGAATGATTCACGCTCACGTGTCGAAGCTCAAGCGATCCCCGTTTTGTCTCACACTGATCTGACAGTGGGATGTTTGCAAGAAGGGCACCATCACTGTGTCTTGCCTTCACCCATTTGGCTGTGGCTCAAAAACATGGAGACCAAAATGGCACCTTAAATGGAGCTGAAGACTAAGACCTGCGAAGCCCTAGCTTTTTAATTTTGAGCCACGCCCATTTCACACTCACATCGAGATTGCGGTAGATGGCTGCCAGGATGCAGAGACAGCGCTCGAGCTCTGTTAGTGCTGCAACTGGACGGCCAGATCCTGAAGGGTTGTGAGTGGATCGGCACATGTGCAAAAAAGAACGCGGGCAACTTGGATGTCTGTGGGATTTCGGTGTTTTTCTCTTTCCATCTTGTTTTTGTTGTTGCTTGAGGTTGGACTCCACAGCCAGTCTCGGCTTGCAAGAGGGTGAGAAGGCCGCCCACTGCTGGCTGGACTGGATGCAAACCATTCAGTGCAGGATTGTTGTATGATTTCGATTGGAAAATGCAGCCAAGGCCGGCATCCACCAGATCATGATGAGTGCCAATCCTGTCACGGAGGTAGGTAGCGGTTGAGAGGGGTCTGACCAGAAGCGGCCGACGAATCCTTGTTTTTGGAGCCAGGCGCTGGGCAACGCGCGCACCCTGAGGAATGACAACTCCTCACGGTGCCCTGGGCTTGATTTGGGTATGGGTCAAAAAAATCAAGGCGCCAGGGGACCGCAGGTTTTTGTCAACTTGTTTTCCATTTTGGGCGCCTTTTTTTAAACCCACCCACTTGATTCAATTCATTCACGTCTGGCTTTACAAGAGAAGCCCCCGTCTTGTGACCAAGTAACTGGGCGCTTGGCATGCGTCGCCAGCTTTGGGCGCTTTGTGAAGCTGTTTTTGAATGTGGCAGCCTCAGCATTGGATCACTTCGTTTGACTGCTTGCGTCGGACGATTTGAGGCAGCAGGTGAAATCGAATGCAGCGAGATGTCCATTTACTCCCTGGAGAAGCGCTTCCCGCCTCGATTGGGCCAGCATCGAGTGACTTTCCAGCTCTGGCAATGGAGTCCATTGGTTTGCAGAACTTCGCCCGTGTTCATGAGCTCGGGCAGCTTTTGAGTTGCAGCTGTTGGGTTGAAAACGCTTCCCCCCAGAGTTTGTTAAGCCTTGACATCAGCTTGGTCCATTGCTTTGCCAGCCAAAGAAAAATCAAAGGCCAGATGTGCATAGACCACATGTGTGTGTTTGTGAGTCGGCGTCCTTGCATGCGGAGACAGCCTGCAATGGACCACTCTTGGACACGGCAACGACTCTGGCGGTGTGCGCAACCCAGAGTGGCAGCTTCGTTTGGGGTCGCCAGGTTGTTTGCAGTAGGCACGTTGAAGTGCAGTGCGCATGTGCATGACTCAATTGCCTGGCCCAGTGGTTCCTTTCGGCTCATAAATCATTCGGACGCCTAAGAGGCCTTCAAGGCCTTTGGACCCATGGGGCTCCTGCAGCTCTTGATGATGAGCTTGGCCGCGCTGGCCGCGAGCGCGGACCTTCACACCCTCGCGACGGAGATGGGCATGGACGAGATCGCGTCAGAGGAGAAGCTGGTGGCGGTTTCGGCGGAGGGAGCTTTTCAAGGTGCGAAGTCCAACTGCCGGAAGATGGGGAAGTCCTGCTGGATTGATGCTCAGTGCTGCTCGGCCAGGTGCCAGCAAAACATCAACCGATGCAGGCCAGTCCGTTGATGCGGGATGAGCGCCTGATGAGCGCCTGATGAGCGCCAAACGTGCGCGCACCACTCAAATCCCTCGCCCTTGCCAGCTTTGGCATCTCCAAGCATAGACCGAGATGCAAGTTGCACCCGCTGCCCGGAAAAGCGAAAAGCGTGTGGTATTTTGCTGTGTCTTGTTTTGGACTTGGCACTTTTTGTGCGTGGGTATCCAAAGACAACCAAGAGCCGTTGTCCTCTTAGGAGCCGAAGGGGTCGGGGATGGATGATGAGGCGCATGCGCGTCGGACATAGGGTTGCCTCAAAAGATGGACCTGGACCAGGCTTCCCGAGCCATGTCCGTAAGGGAGCCTCCAAAAGTGGAGAGTTCGTTAAACATTCTATATATATATATATATATTGAACCACTTTTTTTGTAATGCTCACCTTAGCCAAAATCCGGTGACCCCTGATATTAGGCGGTTGCGCGTGAGCTTGTTTTCCGGCAATTCCGGCCTGGCAAGGAGCACGCGCAAGACCTTGCGCTCCTGCAGGAGACCTGGCGCTTGCATCAAGTTGCACAGTTTGCTAGCTGATTGGAGCCGGACGAAGGGAGCTGGGGCATCCAACTTTTGTCTTTTTGGGGAGCTAAAGAGCCACCAGGAGTTTTGGTTAGGGACCTGGTAGTTTAGGCATGTGCTGCATGGAGGAGGTGTTAAGCGGACGAAAGTGCCGGGCTCAATCTCCATCTGCCTGGTGACGGTGTGGCGAAGTTTGTACGTTTGCTCCATCGAGCGCCACAACCGCAGCGTTTCACGCTTGCTCAGAGTGGGATTTGCCTGTCTTGAAACACATGCTTCTGAATCCGAGCTGGAAACCACGGTCTCATCACAAATTCACCCCAAAACGAGAAACTCGTCTTACCAGTGCTTGTTTTTCCCCCCCCCCCCCCCCTTGGGTATATATGAGCCACTTGTATGCGCCTTTGCAGCCGTGAGTGCATCGCGCCACCTCCAGCTGAATCAGTCCACGGCCTTCCTCCGCCGACGCATGCGCCATGAAGCGCAGTGCTTCGGAGGCCCTGGTGGTGGCTGAGAAGTCGCAGCTGCCACAGCGCCTCGGCTCCAGGGAAATCTGAAAGCAACTTTTGTGGATGGGTCGAAATTAAAGAGCTAGGGTTACGCAGGTTTTAGTCTATGTCAAGGTGCGATTTTGGCACATGTTTTTGAGCCACAGCCATGTGGATTGGTCGAAATTTTGTCCATGCTTCCAGGAGGGCAACCCAGTTCGGGTAGTTGTTGACTCAGTATGGATGGACCTCGGATTGATTCATGGAGTTTGGGAGCTTTGGAACCGGAAACCGCCCTGCGGGGTCCCGCGCAGCTCGGTAAAGGGAGAGGGAGGGAGCGGGAGGGAGGGGAGAGGGAGGAGGACGACGACGAGAAAAGGAAGAATGTTGACGAAGAAGGAGAACCAAGATGATGAAAAAAGAAGACCAGAGCCCTGATGACGACAGCGACAGCCAAACACGGCAGCAAGAAGATCAGCATCTGTATCCACGACCATACCGCATGCCGACTTGCGGATAGGTTTTTCAAGTGCGACAAAGGCAGCGCCTCTTTGATTGCTTCCGCGGCAGTGGCGGGCACTGTGTCATTTCCTTTGCTTATCGTTCCGCTCTTCTCGCTACTTGCCATTTGCTCTTTCTGCGGTCTTCTCTTTGCTTTTCGCTTTTTTGTCAGCTGGTCTTTACTCCAAAAGGCGCTTACCTCTGCGCCCTTTTCTTGGTTCTCCACATCTCCTCGCTTCCTCGCACTTTCAATCCTTTCCAATGCTGTCAACCAGCTCGCCTCTTTACCTCTCTACGCGCTATTTCCCACTTTTCTCTTTGCTCCTTTCTCCGTTTTCTGGCCACAATTGTCCACGCCTTTCTCTGCTCCTCTCACAGCTTCCCTCTAGTCTCTGTTCTCTTATGAGAAGACGTTCAGAGTGGGCTGCAAACAGCTGTTGCTTTTGGATTTGCTTCCTTCGTTATTTCACAGCCAAGAAGAGGACAGTTGCGGCAATCGAAAATTGGTGAAGCAATTAGGTGACGGGCATATAGCATCTGTCTCTTTGCCCTTTGGCGTCCGTTTCCAGCCAAGACATAGAGAAGATGGAGGTACAAGGCAGGCGCTGCAACTCAATGCTGGACATTCTGCCGCACAGTGAAGCAGTGATTTAGTTTGCCCAGAGTGAGTTCCCTGTCTCCAGATTGATTACTATTCGCTATGATACATTTCCTTAGGCTGGTTTGATGACATGGCCCTTGGGGGAGCTGCTTGAGTTTGATTTTGGGTACATAGTAAGTGGTTAGTAAGCTTGGTTGTAACCCACTCAGGAGACTTATAACCATGGTAAAGTGGGTTAGTACCATGGTTCTTACCCACTTGCTAAGTACAATGCGGCTTTAAGTAGCATTGGGACACGAAGAGAAGGAGGGATTGACTTGGAGAGCGTGACCCAACCAGTTTGAGGCTGCCTTTGCAGCTGTGGTTGAGCCCAAGGCAGGATGACTTGCCTGGCTAGTTGATAGGTTGGCTGGCGGAGTGCGGTTGGTGCTGGATCAACGTTTGGGACCATCTTACATCTTTGCCCTTGGCTAAATGATGAGCAAAGGAAAGATATAGAGCCTAGGTTTAGGTTTGAATGTTGACCAAGGGTGGGAGGGCCTGCAAGTGTCGCCGAGCCGTGCTACGAAATGTTAGCAATGACAACCATGCTTTTCTCTCACAGGGCCCAACCGCCTTTGTCAGAAGAAAAGCAAATACGGAAATAAGCCAGAACAGGTAACCCCCAGTTGGTGGTTTGGATGGGGATTTAAACCCCTGGCTTTCGCAGAGGGTACGTGGGAAATCACCCCTGAAGACCACCAAACCACAAAAAAAATTCAGGCGCCCATCAGAGGGAAGCTGGTTGTAAGTAAGCGTTTTGAGCAGGGGTGAGCTGTTCTTAGACATTTTTCATAGAACTCATTGCTTGGAGCCCATTTCATTTCTTAGATATACCACAAACTTTCAAGCACCAATCAGAGGGAAGCTGATGATAAGTATCATAGGTGTCCTTTTTGCAGAATTTGGTTGAACAATAGAGTTAGAGGGCCCTGGTTTATTTGGTGGTTCAATCAACTACCAACACCATCTATTTTCCCAAGAAGGACAAGTATGGTAGGTATGCCACAGGCCTGTGGCCTTGCGAGGATCTTGGAGGAGAAGGCGGCGTCGCTGAAAGTCTTGGTGGCCTCCCAGCCACGGTATGCCGCCTTGGCCGAGTCTGAGGCGCCTTGGGTGAGGTGCTTTACTTTTCGAAGGGCACCTTTTTTTAGGCGGTATATGAGCTCTGCTGCCCAGTGCTGCCCTTTTTTCCCTTGAAACTCAGCCAACCAAAAAAGGGCGCCTTCTTTTTCCCATGGCCACTAGGCATTTGAGTAAGGGAGTTTGAAGGGAAACCACCCATTTTTAGGGTTCGCTCATCCCCATTGTTGGTTGCTGGAACACCAAAAAGCAAGGCTCGCATTTTGGGGGTCGCCTCCGAACAAGACACCCCGTAAATGCGCGCTTTCGGACTGGCAGCAGTTTTTCAGCAGAAAGCCAAGAGGTGAATTTGAGATGAGTTCCCTGAACGCCTGGCAGGACGGCGCCTTGCTGGTGCTGCCCGACTTTCAGCAGGAGGACTGGATTTGCCAGGCGTTGCCTGCGTGCCCAGCCATCTTTCTAGGTGTTTGGTTGGTTTAGTGGCTGGGTTTTCATTTAACCCACCAAAAGTGAAGCTTTTTAGCAGGGGATTTGAGGACAGCTTTGTGGCATTTGGGGGGGGGGGGGGGTTGGGACTAGTTTTTTTTTTTTGGGGGGGTTTTGAAGGAAACCACAATCTTTTGGGTCTCTTGGCACGGGCCTCTGTGAAGTCATTTGATTTCAAGGGTTCCCGAGAACATTCACTGGAAGTACTCTTTGGGGTTTCTCTTCTTTGATACATCTCGCATATTGCCACTCGGCGGTGTGTGGTTTCCAGGAAACGCTTCTCCTCAGAAACTCAGCGGGTTCCCGAGACAAGTTACAAATTTATCCATCCCCCGGCTCTTTGCCTTCGCAGCCTTCGGTTCGTTTCTGGAACCGACTGTGCAGGAGCTCGCCGCCTTGGAGAAGCGAAAGAGGCGGGTGCTGGGCCTGCCTTTCGCCGGGCGCTCGGATTCGGGGAACTCGGCGAATGAATTCGGCGCAGATGCGAATGAATCCGGCGAAGAATCCTCTGGGCCGATGGATGGTGGGAATGATCGAACATGGGAGCCTTGCTGCAAGAACAGGGGAGCATCTCTTTGATGCAGCATTACTGTGGTATCGTGGAGTCTCCCAGGATGTCGGCAAGGATGTTTTCCACTTTGGGTGCTGTTGGGAGTCATGTAGGCAGACAGCACCTTCGCTCAGGTCGAGCGCTTCTTGCAGGACCCCTGTTTGCTGGGAAAGGCCTGGGCACAGCAGCGTGACAGGTGACTCATCCAAGGGATTGACTGTTGGATCAACACAGCCTTTGGGAGTTTCGCAAGCTGGTAGACCCGTTTCTGTTGGTAGTTGCCGGTAACCCAAAGGAATCTGCGTCCATTGGGGACCTCTAGTTTGAGAAACAACCCTAAACCGCAAACCTCAAACCCCTAAACCCTAAACCCTAAACCCTCAACCACCCCATTTTTTTGGTTGAGCGTTGGGACGAGTTGTTTGCTTGGTTCCTTTTGGCCCGGGGGGCGAAGCCCGCCATGCGCCGTGCGCAGGTGCCGGCCTTGCCGCTCTTCGACCTGATCTACCGCAGCCCTGGGGCCATTTGCTTCTCCGTGGCTCGGCATATGGCCAACACACTACCACAGCATCCAGAGAAAGAGCAAGCCCGATTTTCCAAGTGCCACAAAATACCAAGCATCACAATCCAAAGACCACAAAACACGGAACATTCACACTCCAAACACCACAAAACACGGAACATAAATCCAAACGCCACAAACCACGAAAATTCACACTCCAAGCACCACAATACACTGAAAAGTCCACCTCCAGAAAGCTAAAGTTCTTCCGAAGACTTCTTTTGGGCTCAAACCACCCCACCCCCCCCCCCCCCCAAACCAAAAAAAGGAAGCCACCGAACTGGCGCTCGGCTCGGATCGCCGGCTCCCCGGCTCCCCGGCTCCCTTTGCTCCCAGGCCATGGAGCCGGCGCTGCGGGCGCGGCAGCAGGGCCTGGCGCGGTGGCTGGGGGGAAGGACCAGCGGCGAGCTGCAGAGCAGCGAGCTGCTGGTGGCCACCAGGGCGCCTTGGGATCGATTCGGGGCGGTTTGGCGGAAGTTTGGCGGGCGGTGGTTTTTGTTTTGGGGGTAGGTGGGAGGGTCCTCCGTTGTTTTCGTTTTTCTGGGTTGTCCGTTTGGGGGTAGCCTGGAAAAAAGAGTCAACCAAAGGTTTTTTTTTGTTCTTTTCGGGTTTTCCGTTCGGGGTCTGAAAAAGAGTCAACAAAACGGGTGTGTATGCTCAAAAAAGGAGAGACTTTGATGGATGGGCTCATCTTTTTGGCAGGTTGGGCCCTCCAAAATTGTTTTGTTTCCCTTTAGAATCGTCCCGACAGGGGGTATGGAATGAATAGATCTTCACTGTGGTTGGGCGTGTTTGCAAATGCTTTTAGGTTTTAAGGTTCTGCTCATTTTGAGTAGGGGGTTTGCAAGACACAACGCGTTTTTCTACCATACCAAGGGTTGGAAAAATATTAAAAAGATGCGGCCCAATTCCCCTAGATTGGAATGATTGGATGGGTGTGCCTCAGAAATGGAACGCCGGTTTGAACAGGCCAACCACCTGAAAAGGTCCTTAATTTGAGAAACAGCCAGATGAATCTCACTTGGGCGTGATTTTTTCAGGTAGGGATCCTTTGGTGGACATCAACAAATCCGATGGGATTCATGTCCACTTGCGAGGAGTGGTTCCCTGTTAAAAGTCATGGCCAGATCGCTTGGAAAGGTGTTGCCTGAACACCCCCCTGCATTTGGTTCGCAACTGTCATTCTTGCCAGGAGTCTCTGGTGGGCTGTTCCCCAAACGGAACCTGGCTTTGGCGGTTCGGTCGTTTTTTTTTTTTTTCCAACTGACCAGAGGTCAGCATTTGCCCAGAGTCGAAGTACCAGGAGGCGTTGAGTCGACGGCTGCCAGTGGTGAAGCCCAGCTATTTGGAGGCCATGTGGGCTGAGAAGCAGCTGGTGGACGTGCAGTGCCTTGGTGGAAATCAAACTTTTCATCCGGGTAGACTTACACTCGGGGGTTCATTCCCCCGAAGGAGAACCCATGGGTTTAAGTCTATCTTGGGGTAATCAAAGATTGGAACTTTACGGATCCTTGTTCAAACAGGTTGATCAAACTTTTCCCTTAAAGTCCCACAGTACTGACCATGGGTAACTTTTCCCATGTGGTTGACATATATCATATCTGTTTTTAGTGGACGGATTATTTGATCAACCCCCAAAACTTTAGAATAGGTAACCCTGGTAGTGCGCTGTTTACGTGTGTTTTGAGGCTTCCAGTCTTCCCATGGGTCAGCCATGTCAGTTGCACTTCATCCAACAAATACAGAGGAAACATCTTGAGAAAACCAGACAAACCAACAAACAACTCAAGGAAAACCCAAGAACAACCCAAAAGCACAAAAGCACCTCGAGAAAACCAATGAAACAAACAAAACAAATCCAGAACACATGATCTAGAAACGCTTTGGTGCACAACTCACGTTGAAAGAGTTCTGGAAACATGGTTCTTTTTGGGTTTAGTTTGTGTTTTTCTTGTATTTTCCACCTTTCGTGGGTTCCCTCGAGTTTTTTTGGTTTCTTGAGTTTTTTTTCTTCCGATTTTACCTTTTGTTGGGTTTTGTGTGTCTATGATGGGTCTACTTCTGTTCTTGGCTTTGTTTGTTGTTGTCTACGCAGATTGGAAGACATTACTAGCTTGTCTGCCTTTCCTTATGATATTCTATTTGATTTCCAATTGAATTCTACTTGAAGTCCTACTTGCGAAGGAATTCCTGTTTCAAATCCATTTTAAACATCCAACGAAGTGTAAGAAGTCTATTTAAGCTAACTAGCAGAAACAACCAGCTTGTCTATCCTTTCCAGATTCTATTCAAGTTATACTTAGCATATTTTCAGAATCCTAGATACAAATGTATGTCCTATATAATCAATTCCTAGTTCAACTATTTTAGAATCCTAATTCAGTTTTGGAAAGAAGTTCCTATTTAGACTTGGAAGGACTTTCTGTTTAAATTCTAATTCAACATATGAAGTCTAATCAATCTCTAATTGAACGCATGTGTGCAAATATACATGCCGGTTTAAATCTGAATTAGAATGAGAAATCTATTGAAACCATAGTTGAAATCCTAATTGGAAGTGACGTGATATTTGAACTCGAAATCAAAATGAGAATTTGAAGTGAATTCTAACCGAAATCCCATTACAACATAAAGCCTTGATTTTTATGACTTGTAGATCAATATGATTATTATTTGCCTTCTCCATGGGTTCACTCCTTTTGAGGGCTTTGAAGATTAGAAGAAACACCAAGCTTGTTTCTCCTTATTAGTTTCTATATAAATCCCAATTGAAATCCTACTTGGAAAGGACGCCCTACGTTAAGTCTATTTCAAAATACATTTTGACATTGAGTTCCAATTAAAACATGCTCAACACTTAAAGTGTGGCAATTGAAAGCGGGTACACCATTAGAACCAAAGTCGCATTGTCCTTGCGCTTCTGGGTGTTTACTCTTTTCAGGGGGCAGGCAAACTAGCAGAAACAACAAGCTTGTCTTTCCATGCTGGAATCGAATTGAATTGAAATTCAACTCTAATGGCAAACCGGAATAAAAAGATGCCAAGTGCAGCTACTCTGGCTTGAATGAGCAGCAGCAATTAGCAGCGAAAGTAGAGGACCCCGTTGACTGAGTCAGAAATTGCAGTTAAAAACACTCTAGCAAAGCAAGCACACAACTGGCTCAAGATATCAAGCCTTAAAGTCACAAGCAATTGCACTACCACAGTTGCCCAGTGTCTTTCAAGCTTGCAAGTGAGTGTTTCTCAAAATAGGAAGACCCCGTTTGGGATGGTTTCAAGAGGACACCAAAGGGACAACAGGATAAGTTGGTGTCCCCGAATTTCAGAAAGACCCAAGTGATGTTGATTGAACTTCGACGAATCTCAAAGCGCTTCAGGAATGGTTGTTCTAGGGTTCGATTCCCTCTTCTTTTCAACCATCGTTCTTTTCAAAAACCGGCCGTTTCCCCAGGGTTTATTGAGGTTTTTTTAGAAAGAAGGAGCCCTGGAAAGAATGGAGAAGGTACCTCTAGAGTTGTGACGGGTGTTCCGAGGTCACACCATCTTCCTCCCTTGGCTGGCTTGGCGATTTGCTTTGATGCAGATTGTCTTGCAGACCGGGAGGCGCGGACAGCATAAAGTTGTTTTGCCTTAGAAAGGGGCAAATCTGCAAATTTCTTTTTCGAGTTGAGCGCCTTTGAGAGTTAGCTGTTTCTATCAAGATTGGGGACCCCTCCTAGGTGGTTTCTTTTTGGTTTCGATTTAACGCCATCCAAAACGGGTCCCGTTTGAGACACCCCCAGTTGAGCGCTGCATGTTTTTCGGTCACCCACGTACGACGAGCCCTGAGGGCGCGAGCCTGAGAGATGCCGCCATGGCGCAAGGGGCGGCTCTGGCTGCAAGCGCCGATTCGGGTTGCACCTTAAGGGGCGCCTCAGACTTCAGACCCGCGGGGTACCCCAAAGGGGCGCAGACCAGGTTTCGCAGCATTCGCATCGACGGGGTCCCCCGTGTGCCCCACAACCCCAAAAGAGGGTGGCGCCTCAGATTTTGTGGGCTTGCGATGCGCATTCGTATCGACGAAGACCCCATGGGGTTTCGCAGACAATTCGTATAGACGATTCGAAGGATTCGGAATGCTTCAAAGGAAATCGCCTAGACTTGCAACGCATGACAATTAGTGGCTCTTCAAATTGGGGAGATGGGGGCCAGGCCACACAGAATTTCAAAAGCCGGGTTTGGGCATTCCACGTTTTGATGTCTCGGTATCAGGCGCTCATTGTGGCCTTCGATCAAGCAGAGCTCGTGGTGGTGTCCGATGCATCTCGACCGTTGTACCAGGCATGGCTTTTGCCATAAGCAACGGGGGCGCTGGCTTGAAAGTGTTCTCTCGTTTTTGGGGGATAGCCTTAAAAGGGCCGATCGATTCGGCACGTCAGGTAAGTGGTTAGTAAGCCTGGTGATACAACCTGAACGGAAACATTTTGAAGCCATGGCTTTTGCGGGTTACCACATGGCTTTTGTGGGTTATAACCATGGGTTATTACCCGCTTACCTGACGTACCCGCTCACCCAACGGAGACTTTAAAGCCATCCACACCCAAGAGTCCTACATTGAAGAAAGAAATGGAAAGGTTTCCTGGCTTCCGTGGGTTATCTCACCATGGTTCTGACAACCACTTACCTGACGTACCCCCTCACCCCTTTCAGCAGCTATGGCTTTTGTCGGTTATGGCTTGGGCTTTTGTGGGCTTAGGCTATCTCGTGGTTATTACCCACCTACTCACCCCTAGCTGCTATAGCCTGGTTATAGCCTGAACGGAGACTTCATAACCATGGGCTTTTGTGGGCTACCTCCCCGAGCGCAGAGCCCATGGCAGGTGGCCCGGCGGCTGGGGCAGCCGGTGGCGCCGCCGAAGTGGCTGGAGCGGTGCCTGCAGATCAGGCGCCGGTGGTGTCGTTTTGGGATCCCTTTTTGGGGCGTGGCTCAAAATTTAGCAGGAGGGGTTACGCAGGATTTGGTCCATGTTTCCACTTGCCAGAATTCCATATTGGTATCGGTTTTTGGTTGGCAGGTGAAGTCACCACCCCCATTTTAGTCGGGATTTGACCGTTTTAGGTGCACCACCCATGGTGTTTAAACCAATGGGATCCCATTTTGGTTAGTAGGTGCACCACCCATTTTAGAACCTATTTTAGTGGGTCAAAATCAATGGTACAAGTTTGGGGTAGGTTAGCACCCCTCATTTTAGGCTTTATTTTAGTGGTTCACTGGGGGTACGATTTGGATTTTGACCCATGGCCAGGTGCTGCCTGCAAGTGACGGGGGACCTGGAGGCGAGCGGCGAGCGGCGAGCGATTGGGGATGCAAGCGGCACTTTCAAACTCTCATCACACCCTTGCTCCCCAAATGACCATCGTGATGATGGTTCTAGTTATATAAAGAACAACATTGCTTTCTCTTTTTCACTCTCCCTCCCTCATTCCCTCCCTCGCTCCCTCCCTCACTCCCTCTCCCACTCCCTCCCATTCCCTCCCACTCCCTCCCACTCCCTCCCACTCCCTCCCACTCCCTCCCACTCCCTCTCACTCCCTCCCACTCCCTCCCACTCCACTCCCTCCCACTCCCTCCCACTCCCTCCCACTCCCTCCCACTCCCTCCCACTCCCTCCCACTCCCTCCCACTCCCTCCCACTCCCTCCCACTCCCTCCCACTCCCTCTCCCTCCCACTCCCTCCCACTCCCTCTCACTCCCTCCCACTCCCTCCCACTCCCTCTCACTCCCTCCCACTCCCTCCCACTCCCTCCCACTCCCTCCCACTCCCTCCCACTCCCTCCCACTCCCTCCCACTCCCTCCCACTCCCTCCCACTCCCTCCACTCCCTCCCACTCCCTCCCACTCCCTCCCACTCCCTCCCACTCCCTCCCACTCCCTCTCCCTCCCACTCCCTCCCACTCCCTCCCACTCCCTCCCACTCCCCACTCCCTCCCACTCCGTTCGACCCACCCGCCCTCCGCAGGTGCCGCAGCCGGGTGTGGTGGGCTCGGCGGAGGGCCAGGTGGAGCTGATCCTCCAAAACTCGGTGCTGTGCCTCTTGCCGCTGGGCGCAGAAAAAAAGCAATAGTAGTTGCAACCAATGGATTTCATCCAACAATAGTAGTTTCTTGGCAGAAATGGATTTCATCCAACAATAGTTTCAACCATGGTTTCAAAGCGGTGTGGGATTTCGTCCATCCACAGGTGCTAGCGGTAGGCGGGATGACCGAGCCGAGTTTCCGGGGGTTTGGGAAAATGAACCGGTTTTGGAATGGGATTCCCGAAAGGAAACCATAGGAAATGGATAGTTTTTCTCGGGATCATTCCAGGAGAACCAGCAAGGAAAGCTGAGTCAAAGTCTCATTTGCCACTGGCGCTCGCGAGTTTCCAGGTCGGATGGACATGTTGAGGCGGTTCCTTGTCGTGTAACCAGCTCCAAGGTTGAACAATGCGTTTGCGAAGGTCACGCCTGCAGTTTGGACAGCCAGGCTGCGGAAAGACGAGCACAGCAGTTGCGGGGGTTTTCTTGTGACCAAGTGCATTGAACTGTCGCTTGACCACGACCAAGAGCTCCAAGGTACCTGGAACCAGGCGCGCGAAGCGGGGGAACGGGAGAGTTTGGGTCAAGACAGCCCCCTTGGCTTGGGGAAAATGGGCGGCTGCCAGAGCCACGGAAGCAATGGAGCAGGCTCCCTTTGCTGGTGGTGAAAAGCGGGTCACGACTGTGAGAGAATGCATTTTCTGCTCCAGCTGGTGAACGTGACGGGGATTTCAGCTTGAGCTACAAGTTAGAGTGGCCGCAACACCATCAGCATCAACGCAGCATAGTTCAGTTTGTCTTTATTGAACACGGCAGATCATGCTTGCCTATCTATGGTAAGGTAGCGTGCCTCTGTGGCGAAGTGGCAGGCACACTCACCTGTGGGGTCATGCTTGCTAGGATGCAGTGCATGAGTATGGAGAGGCACACGTTCTTGATAGTAATCCAATCCATGCAAGCCAGTCCGGCCACTTTTTTTGCGATCTGCGATCTACCATCAGCTTTCAATTTGAAGCACTGCTGCAGATTGTGCCTAGCTCGGTCCTGCAGCTATTGCAGCTATTCCAATCAAATTTGGAATGAAGGTGTCCATATTTTTCGGTGGCTCTCAGCCATCCTCTTGGCTTTTTAGTTCTCTAGTGTTCTCGGGGTTTCCATTTGACCCACTAAAAGTTCATCACATTGTAGCGGGGGATTTTCGAACCCCCTTAGCTTTTTAGCTTTTTAGTTGGTTTAGCGGTTGGGTTTCCGCTTGGCCCACCAAAAGTTCGTCACTTTTCGCAGATCAGAACTGTCAGCAGGTCCCCAAACGGACAGCCCAGGTCTGAAGAGCGATTTGGCCGCTCCAAACACCGGTGCAATGGGTTGCCCTGGCAAGTGGAAACATGGGTGCCAAAACCTGCGGTTTGCCCCTGCTAAATTTTGAGCAATTTTGAGCCACAGCCATTTGAGGCAAGCGCCTTCTAGTTCGGACAGCCCCATGGCCAGGGAGCCGCGAGTCAGCCCGGGCCTGGGCTCGGCGCTGCGGCGCCTGGACCACCCGCAGCCCCCGGGATCCGGGCGCGACGCACGCGCCGCGGACGGGAAAATGGGAGCGGAGGGGACGGGTGTGGGGTGGGGTGGTGTGGGGCGAGGAACGGGTGCAGGAGACGTGGCAGGGTTGTGATATTTGGCAAGTCCCAAAGTCAGACCGAGAGCATGCGGAGCTTGAACAGCTTCGGAGGGTGCAAGCATCCCAACTGAGCCACTTTGTGTAGAGCTTGACAAGGTGCCTGCTATAAGGCAACCCTCAATGGGTGGTTTGGATTGGTGGTTTGGGGATTGAACCCCCTGGTTCTCGTAGAGGGCACACGGGTACCCACCATCAATTAGGGGTAAGATGATGCAGCCCAGTTGTTTGGCTGACCTTCGTTCGTGCTGTTTAAGCTCCTTTGGGCTATTTTGAAGCTTTGCGAAGACAGCTTGCTGAGGTGCTTTTCAATGTGCTGCCACGGACCTCGGTGTGCGTGTCCATACCCGTGGACGAGGATCAAGTGTTGCATTGGCATTTGGCTTGCGCGAGCCAGCTTTTTTTGACACCTCTTTTGCTTTCTGCACTGCATCCCTTGGTTTCGAGTGAAGACGCTGAGATGCGGCGACAGGAGATTCATTTTTTGGATGTCTCCTGGCTGGAAGCCTGTGCGACCAGTGGCAAAAGAGCCTCAGAGTGGGACTTCCCCAGGCCCGGCAAGTAGGACTTGTGCTCAGCAGCTTCGCAATTGAAATTGATACACCTTGAAAGAGAGAGCGGTGAGAATCTTGGTGAGACAAGCACTCAGTTCTGGCGCAGGCAACAGGTCATCTACAATCCAGCCAGCGACTCCTTTGCCAATGACTTGCGGGAGCCTCGCAAGCTGCGGAAGGCATGGTACGACGCCATGCTTTCCGGCTTGCCAACAACATTGGGGCTTTTTGGGATGGCCCGCTCTGAACAGGTCAAGACGTTCTCATATACATTTCTGCAAAGACTGGACAGGGCACAGCTTGGCAGGTGCACAGCATCCTGGACGAGGAGTCGTTGCCGGCAGTGACAGCTTCCACCGCCGCTCCGTCGCTCTCAGATTTGCCGGCCCCACTGGCAGATGCGGAGCCGAGACTTGGCTGGATTCGACTGCTCAGAAACAATCGAAGGTCAGGAGTCGCACTTCAACCGATTCCCTCTAACAGAATGGCCTTGCGAGTCAATTTGGATACCTATGAAACCTGCCATTGTTTTTATGGTTGCTGCAATTGCAGGGTTTGGGGAAGTCAATGTAAGAGTGCTGATTTCATTTGTGTTTGGCAATCCGGCCTGTCGAATTGCCTTTTGGTCGCATTGATGTCGGGCACGTACCAGAAGGCGCACGTTCTGAGGGACTTGCGTGTCCAAGGCGCGGCATTTGCGTGGAATTTGGGGGGCTTTAGGGGGCTGTAGGAAGGCTTTAGGGGGGCTTTAGAGGGCTTTAGGGGGCTTTTTGGGGGCTTTAGAGCGCTTTTCTTGGGGGCTTTTTGGGGGCTTTAGGGGGGGCTTGCTTTGCCAAGGAGCCTTTCCCCACCATCTGCGGAGGGCATCTTTAAGGGCTTGGTGTTGGGCATCGCCCTGCGCGATGAGGCGAAGGTGGTGCAGATGGTGTGTGCCTTGATTTGGACGGTTTCCCGGCCGTTTGTGTGGTATCGTCTAGGAGATTCGTTGATGAGTCTGTGATGGAACAACGGGCATGAGGGGGCCAACAGCATTGTTGGAAGATCGAGAGAGCTTGCAGACCATCCAAAGCAGTTACGCACTTGACGTCCAATGCCAAGTGAGAGACACACTTCGAGCAGGCTTGGTGTGATCTATTCCACTTGTGAGGCCAGAATGGTGGTACTGCGGTGCACGGTGTGGGTGGCAATATTGCGGCGTTGTCGCGCTTGCCTCAGTTCTTGGCCGTCATGTTCTTCATCGCACAAAATGTTTGTTTGCAGTTGATTGGGATGAGGAAGTCCAAGCTGGACTACTGCATCTGCGGCAATGGCCCAGTGACCAACGAAAGGGGCTTGCCATTGGCAACGCTGCACTGGGTGAAGGCATCGCCCGAAAGAGCCATGTTCTAAAGGTAAGGCTTGGACTGTTGCTTGCAGGGGCCAACACATTTTTGTCACACCGCCCGATTTACACTCTAGGTGCGAATACCACATTTGGTTTGGATCCCTTCAAACCAACGATCTCATTCCTTTTTCAAGGGCTTCGTACCTCTAGCAAGGCAGACAGGGGAAAGGGACGGAGACAGACAGCCGACAAGCAGCCCCAGAGATGGCTCAGACTGCAAAATCACCACACAACATAGCACTCTTTTGCCACTTGGTCCGCACGCCGGCCTCCCCCCCGACATCACAAGTGTGCTTTGACAGCTATCTCCACATTTTGCTGCGCGTTTCTTGCGGTTTGCGAGTGTGATGCAGATCCCCAGATTCAAGGATTTTGCGTCACCAGCATCCAGCATCATCCAAAAATGGTGCCAAAATCAATACCGAAAGGCAAAGGCATCACCCACATCGCCCGCATCGTCTCCACGCCAGTGTACATGCGTGCATCACCGAGAAGCAGCTTTCAGTCGGTTTGCAGACGTCTAAGGTTGACGTGCCCGGACTGGAGCCCACCGGGGGAGCATCACTGCCCGAGATTAGTTTCGCCGGCGATTGGACGTTGCCCTCGGCAGGCAGCATTCGCGCCGGCCTTGTCCACCCAGAAACAAAGCTCTACCACGCCAGTGGGCTGGCCTCACCGGCATTTTCAGTTGTTTTTCTTGGGCTGTGTCCAACTCTCCCTGGCATTTTGCTACACGGGCTCGTTTGAACGTTGGCGAGAAGCTCTGAGGCAGTTTGCTGTGGCGCGTGCCACTGGGCGCAGCAGCTTTCGTCAAGACTCGCTCGCTCAAGTTGGGTTTTTGTGGGTACCGTGGCTCACAGCGCGCAAGAGGCAGATTGCCAGATGGCCAACTCTGCGAGACAGGTCGCGCGACGCTCCGTTTGCTGGCGAGGGCCGCGTTTACGCGCAAAGCGGCTCTCCGTGCGCGTCTGAGAGGGAGGTGCAGAAATGTGCCTTTGGTTGTAGAGATTTCAGTCTTGATGTTGGCATTTGCTTCATTTGGCGGTGCATATTCAACGGAGGAGTCTTCCAGGCCAGGCCTGGGCAGCAGCCCAAAGCAAACGCTTGGTCAATCTGCGTGGCTTTTTTAAAGGGCGAGCCAGGCAGCGGCGCAAGGCTTGAGGCCATTTTTTGTCGTGCGCAGCCGCCCGTGCGCCAAGTTTGCGTTAGGTTGGTGGCGATTGGGCCAAATGCGCTCAGGTGCAAGAATCCAGCACAGCAGTAAAATGATGCATAGGCAGGAGATAAAAGAAACAGGCCAGAGACAATATAGAAGCACACACACACACACACATGTAAGCTGCAGAAAGCACATATTGCAATTAGCATCGAAAGCACACATTGCTGAAAGCACATATCGCATGTTTTCTTTGCAAGACGGCAAACCAGAATTTCTTTGCCATCTCAAATGTGGCTACGGCTGTGTGACGAGTCTGTACTCTTGTAACTCAATCGTCTATCGAAGGATGAATAACACCGAGACATGATACAATCGCGCATAGAAGCTATAGATGCGCACATTCGACAACAATAACACAGAGGCCGAATGTTACTCGAGGACAGCATATGAAGTATACAGATGCAGTCAACACAATACATGTGTACTATAATATAACATATATCATAGATCCAACATATGGATGCATATTTCACTCTTTGGCCCCCTTCCTCATAGGGCTTCGCTTATGCTTCTTGGCTTGAGAAGGGAAGTGTTGTTGCTATCAGGATCCTCATGAACAGGCAGCAAGTAGCCGGCTGAAACATAGACCTTTTGGCTCGGCGCAGTTTTTTTGTACCACGGTCTGAGCAAAGAAATACGCCGCCGGTGCTCCGGTGCTTCGCCAGGCCTGCGCCGAAGAGAAGACGTTGCACTCCACCGACGCCTATCCGCACTTCCAGCCCAGCAGCCATTCGTTTCCCCTGGCCTCCATGCCGCTCGGACGAGCCGAGCCACTTGAGACTTGAGAGGTTCCGTGGTGGCTTAGGTTGTGTACCAAAATGGCACCTTGGTCAATGGAACCAAAGGCAAGAACAGGTGTAACCCTAGCTCTCAGATTTTGAGCCACACCCATTGCATGTGCCTTTCTTGTTGTTGTTTTTTTCGCGAGGTCCAGGTTTCTCATCCGCATCACTGGCTTGGACGAGTATCGGCAGAGCACCATCCAGCGCAGGCGGCTTGAGGAGCGAAGCGCGCGAAGCGAAGCTTTGTCAGGTGGTTGCTCAAAATTGGGGACCAATTCCTACAGGATGGAGTGGTTTTGGTTTCCCTTTAAAACCAGCAAAAAAGGCGTCCCCTATTTTGAGACACACTCAGATGTCACATGATGTACTGACATGCGACAGCGCACAAAAGACCGGGCGGCATTTCTGGTGTTTTACGGTTTGGATGCCCGTTTGGCACAATCCACGATTTGACTGCATACTCCGGCTTGCTCCAGGAGCTGATTCAAGTTCTTGGTGCCAAAGTTGCACAACACAACAACCGCCAGTCGGAGCTGACGCAGATCGTTTGTGCCGCGCCCAGCCTGCGTACACTATTGGTAAAGTAAGAGGTTCTGCAGTTTTTGCATGGTTTGGATACGCCAATTCGTGTGCTGGTGAATGCTGCGGGGGTAACAGATGAAGATCTGAGAGGCTGAATTGCCATTTGTTCGGGTACAGCTCAGCTTGTGCGGAGGTTTACGAAGGCAAACCTGGTTCGTAGGATTGAGCAGGCGTGCCGAGGCTGTTTCAAGAAGACTCTGCGACGACAGGCCCATGTAGATGACGTTCCTGCTTTCGGTTGCAGCAGTGCCGGCTGCAAGCCGCAGTGTTCACGCGTAGGCCCTGCAGAGATTTCATGGAGAGGAGCCTGTCTTAGAGTATGGCACTTTGACTTGCGCAGGGCTGTGCCAGTGAACTCTGCCACCAAGACCGAACTTTCTTCAATGCTGCATTGAACCGGCTCTGTGCGTTTACATCTTTTGACACACACCCAACAACACCAAGCTCGGAAAGCGCGCTTCTCGCCCGGGCTGCGTTTCTTGTTCCTGCGAGGGCGAAGGGTGACCCGCGTAGGAACACCTATCTTCTACGTGCCTGCTCCAATCCTTTCATGTATTCGTGCAGCGTATGGGAGGCAACAGACTCAAAAGTCGGCCATTTATCGTTTAAAGTATTTAAATTTGGGAAATTTGAACACACATTTTCCACGTATTTTCAGTCTACCTTCAGCAACAATAATTGGGGAATGCTGTCATCACCTCATTCCTTTTATCGGCGCCGATTCGATTCACTTCGCAGGTGCTGTGGTTGCGAACCTGGACCCGCGCATTGCAGACAGCGCAAAGAAGCGGCAGATCCCCGTGGTGGCGCGGCATGCGGTGGATTGTGGCTCTGGGTTTTGGTAACTGTTCGTTTCTGAATATGGCAACGGCTCAAAATCATGTACCAAAATGGCACCTTAGTAAATGGAACCAAACACTAAAACCTGCGTAACCCTGGCTCTTTAATTTTGAGCCACACCCATATGGGTGTGTCATTTTTAGTGGACGCCAAAATGGTTGTTGCTTTTGGTTTCACCTCAAAACCGCCAAAAAGGGAGGTACCCCCAAAGACAGACCCGTATGACCATATGCCGCAAGATTCTTTGAGCTGCAACTTGACCTCCTTCCAACAATGGAAGTGGACCATGGTGGGTTTGGAAGACTAGCCTCTTGAAAAAGCCTCTACACTTCCATGATTATTGGACAGAGATGCATTGCAGCTGTCTGCTTGAGAGGATGTGGCTCAAAAATGGAAACCAGAATGGCACCAAGAGGGAAATGGAACCAAAACTAAAGGTTTCCCTGCGGTTTGCCCTAGCTCTTCAATTTTGAGCCAGTTCTCCCTGGATTGAGGTCTCGGTTCAGTGGTTGTTCGACTGCTTCCGCCTTGGAAGCCATCAGCCAGAAGCTAACTACGCCAGCAGCCGCAAAGCTGCAATACGGGTTGACGACTGGGCCAGGGGTTGATCAAACAGTGCTTAAGACATAGAATGATCATTGGCAGTTGGGAAACCACAAAAAAGATATGATATATTTCAACCACATGGGAAAGAACTGGGGGCCTTTCAGGGAATATAGATCAACGCCCATGTTTTTTGGTCGATGCTTGTGCAAAAAGACGGCGTTTGCTCAACGAACAGCCTGCACATGTTTTTTTTCACCGGAAACTCCGAAGCCATGACACCCCACATAGACCGTGACCGAGGTGCCAGCTCCGTCTCGGCCGCGATAGAAGGAGCCGCGCCGGCGGCGAGTTCCGTGGCGGTGCTGGCGAAGTGCGAGGTCTTCGTCTCGCTCAGCGCGGTGGCGGCGGAGCCCAAGTTGATGCAGATGGCCAAGGAGTGGCTGAAAGGGGCGAGGGCGATCGAGTAGCGGTAGCTCAGGGAAGCGGTTGCAATCAGGGTGATAACCCAATCGGGTTCCTTCAGGTGGGCAATCACCACGGCGATATTCCGCTTACCATGGTTGTAAGTCTTCGTTCAGTGGGTTAGCAGGCCAGGCCAAGTAACTATATACCTGACGTACAGTGCCCCTTTAAGAAGACCCGGAGGCAGAACTCGGTGAGAAAGCCGAGACCCAGAATGGCAAAAGCAAAACCTAAATTCCTGGTCGGAAATCAAGTGGTCAACGGCTCGGAAGCTTTGACTGCTCAAGTTGGAAGATGTGAGCCGAACCACCATTATTACAAACAGGTTCCACACCATACAACAATCAGGTTCCACAACATACAAACAGGTTCCACCCCATAGCAAACAGGTTGTGAAAGCAAAAGCCGAAAACCCGGCGGGACTTCGAAGCCACGAAGCGCCGCCGCATGCGTTGGCTTTTTCGGTTTTCGAGGAGCTCGGGGCCTCGGCGCGAAGCTTCCGCCGCTGCAGTGAGCTGGAGCTGACAGAAACCGGCGACGCCGTGGTGGTGGTGGCGCCTCGGCCCGGGGAAGGACGCGAATTTTTAGAAAAAGTTCGGTGAAGCTGAAGCGGGATTTGTAGCCTGCGGCTATTTTAGCGCCAAGTCTGTGAAGAAGAAAAGCGGAATTTTGGTAGCCTGGCGGATTTGTCAGTGGCTAGACTCAGGTCGCCTTTGTTGGGATCGTTCCGGAACGATTGCAATGTTGGACGGATCTTTGGACGTAACTCCCATTGAGCTGGCTTTTGAGAACTCTTTATCAGTTGCAGCCCAAAGGGGTCTTTGTCTAGGTTTCTGCAAATTCCCGGAATTGGGCTTGCGAAATTCCGATCGGATGTGTCCATCGGGTCCAAAGGATCGATTGCATTTTTTTTAATTTTTCTTCCTTTTTTTTAAGCGTGTGGATTCTGAAAAAATGAAGAGGATTCAAAGAGTGTTTCCTACCCATTTCTTTTGGATCCAAAAGTGGCAGCTTCAGGAGCCCCCAGTAAGTGGATCCTTGGGGAAAACCCAGTGACCCCTGTCAAAAGGGGCTGGAATTGGGGCTGAGGATAAAGAGGAGGCGAGACAAGGCCAGCTGGAGCCCGTTGAGAAGTGGACGCCGGAGCTTCGGGCGCTCTTTGTGCAGCCCAGCTGGCTGCTGGCCCCTTGGAAAGCAATGTGTATCTGGGGGTACCTTCCATTTCCCTTCTTTCCAGGCATCCTTCTTTCGACAAAACCACCCAAAACCCTGGGGAAACAGCTGGTTTTTGAAAAGAACGATGGTGGAAAAGAATGGGGAATCAACCCCTAGAGTGTACACTGCCTCGTGTAACTTTGCCGGTGTGTTGCAAGCAATGGAGAAGCACGGGCTGTCCAGAGTCCCATTTGAGCCACAATCAACACCGATTTGGGTCGATGAAGGTTAGTATGGCACAATCCCAGCGATAAATGGGTGAAGCCGCTTTGGAGAAATAAAGCGGCTTCACCTCTTATGTGGGGGATTGTGCCACAACCTTCATCGACCCGAATGACATGGTTCTGGTTAGACTCCTCGACCTTCATACCGATCGGTTTTGATGACTCAGCCAGGAGACCTATTCCCAGCGCCGGCGCTTGCCGCTGCAGACCTTCGGAGCCTTTCCGGTGCCTCGGCTCGGGCGCAGGGGCGATTGAGGCGATCGCTTCGGTACCTCAGGTAGGTGGTGGCAACCATGGTGTGACCCACAAAAGCCATGGTGAGAAGTCTGCTCGGGAAAATGTAGGCATGCTGACCAAGTACCTTGCCCCTTTAGGCAATCCGAAGGTGTGAGATCTCCACCGGTGGGCCCAGGAGGAAAGCACCAAGAAGCTTCGTTTGGCGGAGGCGGGTGGACTTGGCCAGGAAGACTGAAGCAGACGACTTGCAGTTGTTGGTTCTGAAAAGAACAAATTGGCTCAAAATTTGAAGGGCCAGGGCCAGGCCGCAGTTGTTTTCCCTCTTTGGTTTCATGGTTTTTCTTGGTGCCATCTTGGGTTCCAATAGCCACAGCCAACTCTTGGACACTCAGATCGCCTGCTGCCAGGCAGCCTATGCCTGGCAGCCCGCGGAGCTGAAGCGGCTGGAAGAGCTGTCAGAGCGGCCTGGCAGAGCTAGGTCGCGGGCGAGCGAGCCGGGCTGATCCATCCGGCGGATGGATCAACAGGCCCCCATTTTGGAGAGTCTGCGGGGTTTTGGACCGGGAAAAGCAGTTGGGGAAATGAAGTGGGGTGAATTTCTTGGGTTGGCCAGGTTTCTCATCGCACTGTTGCCCCTCCTGTACATGGGGGGTTGATCAACAGGTCCGGAAAAAAGAAAAGAAAAAGAAACCATGGGATAAGGCCAGGGGTTGATCAAAAGGTGCCTACGACATGGAATGACCATTGGTTGGGAAACTGATATATTTTAACCACCTGGGAAAGCGACCCATGGGCATGGCCGGGCCCTGAAGGGAACAAAGTGAGAACATATGGCCAGCGAAATCGGTGCCCTTTAAAACAACAGGAAAAACACATTCTTGACCAAATGGAAGAAACTCATGCAGCTCCGGGGTACATCGAAGATATGGGTGGCTCATCTTTGATGGAGGCCCGGCACCCTTTTGGAAAACCCTCAAGCCGTTTTACAAACACCCTTAAGACTGCAGTTGGTGTTGACAGAGTAGTTCTTGGTGAAGAGCCCTGCCTGCCATTTTGCGCTAGAGAGCGGCATAGTGGGGAGGATCGGCTCGACTTTCGCTGTTGCCTGAGGCAAGCGCGCGCTCGCGACCTTCAGTCCAAGGCGCTGAGCTACGAGCTTTTCTCGGGGCGCAACCTCAGAGCGTTGAATTTCCACGGGTTGCTTTGTGGACGGCCAGGCTCCTACGTTCGCTCATTTTCTGATTTAGCGCAGAATTCAGCAGGAATTCGCCTCAGATCTCTCTTGTTTTTTTTAAAGCCATTGTTTCCGGTATTCGAGATTGATCTCGTTCTTTTCCTTCCATGGTTCCTGGAAGCTTCTCCCCGCTCCCCTCCAGCTTTTCAGGTGGTCCTCGGGCCATGGCCCGAGCTTCACGCGCGCGTCACGCCAGGCGCAGCAGAAGGTCACGGAGGGCCTGCGCCTCGCGAAGCTGGGCTCCTGAAGCTCGCGAGAGGCCGCCGGCGCGCGGGGGGTGTCGAGGGGGGCGGAGCCGGAGCGCGGACGTCGACGTCCCATGGCGGAGCCGTGGCGCCTGGCGCGTCCTTTGGGTTTTCCCTGGGAAGAAAAAAACAAGAAACAATCAAAGACAAAAGGGCGGCTGCTTGAAGCAACACCAGCCAAAAGTTTTGGTGAAGTTTGAGAAACCCCCGCAGAATGTGGGGGAAGACAAGAGCTATGAGAAGTGAAGTGAAAGTAGATCCTTCAGACTTGCTTTGCCATGAACTTGAGAGAAGGGTGTGCGGATCGAATGAACAGAAACTCTTCGGGGATATGACCGATCACACCTTTGTGAGGGAAAACATCCATTCACAGACAAATATAGGTCTGTCTTTGTTTAGCACACCCCCCAAAAAAAAGAAAGAAAAAAAAAGGCATCGGTTTTCCTTGTGGCTTCCCTTGAAAACCAATCCAAAACGGGGTCCCCTCCCAACAAAGAATAGACCGATATTATGGCTCCTCACTCGCGAATCTGACTGGGCGGAGTTTCGGAAGGCTTTTCGTCTATGCTGACCTTTGCAGGCTTCGGGGCAGGCGTAGGTGGCGTGTTGGTTCCCAAGGAGGTGGCAACGGTGACTTTCTTTTCGGCTTCGGGGACTCGTTTCAAGGCAACCGACGCTTCTTGACCGAAAAGAGCGAGGTGCAGATGTGTCACAAGTAGCCCGAAAAATGGTTTTGAGTGCGGCATGCTTCGTGCCCTGTCGCAGGTGATCCAGGAGTACGTGGCGCCGGCACCTGACAAAGCCTTGGGCAATCAGCCGCAGATCCATCCGATGGAAATCTTCATCTCCGCATGAAGCGAAGACCAAACCATATGCTGCAGGGTTTGCGTTCCGGAACTCTCGATGGCATCGATAGCATAGGAATCCTCATTCAAAGCCATGTTGTTTTTTTTTGCGTGGTTTGAGCCAATCAGGAAATGCGGCTTTGTCAGGTCGGCCTGAGTCCGGCAGGAAGATTCATGTTGCTTGTGCCAGCACTGCTGGGGTAGCTGCTGTAGGTCTTTCGCATTTGTGTAAAAGACACAGATGCTTAGCGACAGTCCATCTTGTGGGGAATGATGGACAAACAGTTGCCCGTGCCCGACACGACAAGCTCTTGGTTCTCGAATGATCAGCCATGTCCTAGCAATCCGATTCACTTGTTTTCCCCTTCCCATCTTCCTGTAAAGCCGACCAGAGTGTGGAATCTTTTGGTGGGGGCGGACTTCTTTTTGCAGGGGGTGGGCTTCTTTTTGGGGTGGTGGACTTCTGTTTGTTCCCAAACCGATCTGGATCCAAATTTGTTCGCGCCCGATTGGTTTCGGTGATATGTCTCGGATCCCTCGATCCGAGGGGCTGGGCGTTCAAAGCGGACCACGAGGAAGATTTGGAAGACCCCACGCTGCCGCAGTTCCCCGCCACCCGGCACGAAGCCCAGCGCTTGCCGAGCGAGCAGAGCACGTTGCGCGCGCCTAGTTGGTTGGGCTCCGGTTGGAGGCGAAAGGGAGACACCCGCGAAAACAAAATAAGAATCGGACATGGGTTTGCCACGCCGTTCTCCAACCCCAAACCTGCCAAACAAAGGCAACCCTTTGTCCACCCAACAGCAGCCGAACGAAACCCACCTGAGACCCAGCCCGAGGCTCTTAGCCAAAAGCTTACGCTTGCTGAGGCATCACCTTCCAAAGACCAATATCGAGGTGTGGGCTCCTTTGCAGCTCCAAAGTTGCGGACAATTGGAGATAGGCGTTGGTGAAAATGGAATATAGTCATCTGAGAGTACGCATGAGAGCGTGCAGGCAACATTTTGAAGTGGAAGCAAAGCCACTTTGCAATCCATGTGTGCAGCGCAAGCTTTGGCAGGAGAAGATTCTTCTAGCGGAATACCTCTTCGACGAGGGTGAGGACGGAACCTTCGACCTGGGAAGGAGGCTACAGGATGAGCACAAGTTGGGGTTTCAGCCATAGAGAGACCGGGGCATTGCTGCGAACGCCAGCTGGAGCATCATGTCCGTGGGAGCGCGTGCCAGGAGTCGCATGGGCCCTATGCGTGGATTGAGCACCAGCACGGGGCCTCAGATCGAGCACTACCTGTCGCGAGAAGTGCGGCGCGCCTGGTGCTTCGAGCAGAATTTGTTGACACGTGCGTAAGTTTGCGTGTTGCAGATGCTTCGTGGTGGCCAAAGCTGGCGAGAGTACGTTTTTTTTGCGCATGCGTAGCGAAACGTTTGGTTCCCCACGGAACCGCGGCGCCAGAATGATTCGACCCATTTTGACAAATTCCACGCTCGTCAAAATCAGCCGCTTTCAAAAATGACACTCACAAACGCTTGCACTCCCCCTGTCAAGCAAAACACCTCAAAACGACAACCTCTGAAAGAAACGCAAATCACAATGGCTCAGCAATGCGAACACCAGGCCTTCCAAAACAGTGCGCCTGCGCAGCAAAACGACATGCAACGCTGCAAAAGGCACGATTCACACAAAATCGGCGCAAGGATTTCGGCGCTTCAAAGTTGGATTTCGTGACAGGCGCAGCACGGGGCAGTAGTTTGGTGCTCGGGCGCAGATTTCTTGGCGCAGAAGCTTCTCATTTTGTGACAGATGGATGGATAGATAGACAGACAGACAGACAGCCAGAGAGGTAGATAGCAAGATAGGTAGGGAGATAGATCGATACATAGATGGATGGATAGATAGATAGACACGTAGATAGATAGATAGCTTGATGAGAGATGGGTAGGTAGATCAGACTAGATAAGACAGATAGATAGGCTCAGATGGGCAGATCAGACTAGGATGAGATAGATAAGCCGAGGGATGCGAGAGATAGATAGGTAGACAGATAGATAGACAGAGGCAGATAGATGAGGTTGATAGACGGGATTTGGGGAGTAGCTGGATAGAAAGGTAGGTTGGCAGATAGACATATAGATGGAGAGATAGGTCAGATGGAACACTAGACAGGTAGACAGAGAGGAGAATAGGTAGACAGAAAGAAAGATGGAAGGATAGAGAGATATAGAGATAGGTTAAGAAGAGCTCGAATCCACATTGCTTTCACAAGGCCACGGTTGTGTGTGTCCCTGCCTATCCATTTGCCTGCCTGCTGACCTATTGTTTTTTCTGGCTGTCCGTTTGCCTAATCATCCATGCGTCTATGCGTGCGTCTACCTATTTATTTGCCTACCTGCCTACCCAACTACCCATCTATCCAATCTAAAGCGGTTGCTACCCGGTTTCAGTAAGAAGCCACGCCTTGCTCCAACAAAACTCGAATTCATGTTTCTTAACATCAGTCAATATACTAGCAAACAGACCTTGCATGTGCTTCCCGCCTTTCGCGGAGGTGGGCCCAGTCAATAATAGCTGCCGTCATCGTCCTCAATGCCGCGCTGTTCGGCTGCAAGCTCAGGGTGAAAGTTTGCAACAACACAATGAAGACAACACGCAGCGACTTTCCGGAATGCATAATGGAACCTTTACTTGTTGAGGGATTTACTGCTTTCGCACGCTTGGATGTTGCTTGCCCAGGCCTGGAAACCGACATTCAGTCACCCATTTGGGTGCCCCCCTCAGTCGCGAGATGCATTCGTTGGGGTTTGGCATGGTGCTTCGCCAGGTCTGGGTGGAGCATGCCATCCTCATCATTTTCGCTGGGGAGTCGCCGCCTTGGCTCCAGCTCCGGGCACGTGGCACTTGCGAGCTGCAGGCAACTGGTGCGCTTGGCCCGCCCGCCTCTGAGCGAGAGCCAGACAGGCGATAAACTTTGGAGAGGCTAGTCAAAGGCTGTTTTGGCAATCGGGGTTCAGTCACTGTTATTGTTGGTCCAAGCACTGGCTTGAAGCGCTTTGGGCTGGATAAAGCCGCAAAAATGGGGGACCCAAGACGCGCTAAACGGAGCAAAGGGGCATGTTCTGAGGTCTTACGACACTGCAACACCGCCAACTCTAAGTGGGCTGCGCAACACAATGGGTCAAGTTATAATGATAAAGCCGTCCCTGACTCAAGCAGCGTGATCAGCTGAGCGAGCGCGCAATAGGCCAGATGCTTGCGCTCAAGAAAGCCTCTCTAGGAGACATACAAGAGATCGCGCAACGACACACGTGAAAGTTGAGGGTGCTGCTTTCACTCACCGCCGGTACCTGGCCATTTGCAAGTAACACGAGCAGCGGCAGCTCGCACGACCCAGAGATTGCGAAAGTCGGGGGAGCTGAACCCCAAAGACCGAGGTGTGATCAGCTGGCGTTTAGTCTCACTTGTCCATATTGTTGGAACCAGAAAATGCATTTTTCCCCCGTTGCTTGGAATTGATGCTGAGGCTATGGCGGCTCGTACTTCGGTGCCTATTGCTCGTGTGTTGGGGGGGGGAGGGGCTTGGGCATGAGGACAATGAATTGAACTTGTGCAAAAGTGGCCCAGTCTGGACTCTCCATCCATCCCTCCATCCATTAATCCCCCCATCCCTCCATCCCTCCAGAGCATTCCTTGGACAGGGAGTCTGGGCAACTGGTTTGACCTCTTCATCGTGGCTTGCGGCGCTACTGATCTGTGGGTGCCAGCCTCGCCAAAAATGAGGGCACGGAGTCTTTTGCCACTTGCCGTGCCATGCTGTGTTGTGTTTGTTTGTTTGTTTGTTTGTTTGTTTGTTTGTTTGTTTGTTTGTTTTGTTTGTTTGTTTGTTTGTTTGTTTGGTTGGTTGGTTTGTTTGTTTGTTTGTTTGTTTGTTTGTTTGTTGTTTTGTTGTTTTGTTTGTTCGTTCGTTCGTTCGTTCGTTTGTTTGTTTGTTTGTTTGTTTGTTTGTTTGTTTGTTTGTTTGTTTGTTTGTTTGTTCGTGTGTTGCCTCAACCTACCAGCGTAGCTCAGGTCATGCCAGCGGTGAGTGCGCAGAAGCCTCGGCGTTGCGCTTGCCGATGCGAAGCGATCAATTGAATGTTTGTGCAATCATGCAGAGAGTTACCCGTGAACGCATTCCCAGTCCGGTCCGGCGAGGCTGATGGGGCAAGAGAACACCAAGAGCTCATTTCTTGCAGCAATGCAGCTCTTGCGATTGTCGGGTCCTTGAGCTGGCACGCCGTTCCGTTTTCTGACTGCTGGGAAGAGAGAGGCGCGCAGTTGCGCTGTCAAGTCATTCTTGGCTTGAAGATTTGCAACAGCTCAGGTTGCGAATTGCTCGCCTCATTCGAATTGTCAGCGCCTCATTTGTTTGTAGCCGCAAGGCCTGATGTATACTTCTTATTTTTTTCCACGGGAATGCCATGACCTTTTTTTCCCTGCGAAGCTTTTGTTGTTTTCGCTTTGCGCTGCACGCCTCCGCCAGGGGCTGGTGATGATTTAGAGACTTCCTTTGATCTGCCGGGATGCTGGGCAGCTGCCAAGAAGCGACGCTTGCGCCTGGCCATGCGTGAAAGTGCCGAAAGTATCTGCTGGGCCAGAGCTACAGCTTGGGCTAGGTGGAGTGCAAAATATGGCTTGGCCGGACAATGGGCAGCTAACGGTGCTGGAGGCAAGCAATATGGAAGAACACAGCTGGCAAGACCTACGGTACCAAAACAGGATAGCATAACAGTAACAAAGGGATGAGAGGCAAACATAACATCACTTGCCCCTTGCACCAGTCATGTGCGACATTTTTGCCAAGGCAGAGTTCAAACATGTTTTTGTTGCGACAGTTGAGGTGGTGCTTTTCAGGAGTGTTCTTCACATAGAACAGCTCAGCAAGCGCAGTAGGCCGTAGAAGACCATGACTGCGCAACAAACACACACAGCAATGCTCGCCATATCTGCCTTGGTAGGCCTATCCCTTCTGCCACGCAAATTGCTGCAAGCATTTTCTGATCGTGACA